ACTGGATTGATGATCTTTCATTTTTTTTGTAGAAGATCCAGAGAGATCGAGAGAGAGAACAATAAAAAAAAAAATTCGCCTCTGTTTGTGTTTTTTTCCTTTTGTTTATTAATTTTGACCAATCAGATTGATCAAAACCCACAATATTTACCGATAATATAGAGCCCATATTTAGAACCGTAAATATGTTATTGAACCCCATTTTGATTTAATTAAATGGGTTTAAATGTTAAAAACCCTCTATATTTACTCTTATTATCCATTTATAATCATGCTCTAAGGTGAAACAAATATCTAGTTTTTTTGTAAATGAATAAACTAACTAATTTTGGATATACAAAAAAAAAAAACCCTCTAGATACTTCAACAATATTTCAAAAAGAAAAAAAAGAAAGAATATATTTCAAACCACGCTTTCGACAACAACAAAAAAAAATTGAAACAATATATATTTATCATTGATAAATGAGGGAAGAAAAGCCAAAATATTGAATATGGAGGAGCAACGATTCAACACCCTAGGTTTGGATTACTTCAAGATCCTCTTGGCCACAAGCGTTGCATAAAACTTCTTTGTGCGGAAGAACAACACAAGAGCCACAAGAGATCCAAGCAAAGCCATGGCCGCCATTATCACAAACGAAGTCCCAAAACAATGATTCCCATAACAAGAATGGTCGTCCTCCGAAGCTACCTTATCGTACAAGTAACCTATTACCTTCACTGAGAAAATGTACGAACCAACTGGACTGGCTATGGAAATCGTATAGAATATAGTTGCCATATGAAGAACCCCGAATATTTCAGAGGTTATCGTCGGCATGAGTGACCATTGAGAGCCGTACGCTAAACCGACCAACAGTGTCCCGATATATAGGCTTCCTAGTAAACCGGAGGCCATGATAATGTGACCTATAGCCATAATCCCTAGAGTTATGGCCATGAAAATCGGTCTTGGCCAGCCATGACTGTGTAAATAGGCGTCTGAGATGTAACCTGACCCAAACCGGCCTAGAAAGTTCCATATGCTCCAGAGAGATACTAGAGAATTGAGTTGAACCGTAGAGTAGCGAAGTGACTCGCCCATCTGTCTGATGTTGTTTACCGTCGCAAGCCCTGAGCCCATTCCACATATCATCGCTAGGAATAGAAGCCAGAAGTTGGTTGTACATATTGATTCAAGGACGTTCATGTCATTGGTCATGACAACTTTAACACCTATAAATTGATTGAAATGTGTTAGGAGTTTCATTCTCTAAGTAATATACCAAGGGACCTAAACTAACATATAAGGGACATAATTCACTCCGTTATGGAAGATAAGTTGTGAAATTAGATTACCCGAAGAAGTGTTGAGCTTTGGAGAGCCAAGCAAGGTGGTACTCTCGGTAACTGGAAAATCCAAAGACAAGAATCTCTCTTTCTCTTCACGCTGTGCTCTAAAGGCGACCAAGAGAGGAGAGGCGAGCAAGAGAAGTAAAATAGTAAAGGAGCATATCTTCATAGGCTTTGACATTCCGATAAGATTTTCGACCAATATGGCGATCATTAGATAGATAACGATGATCAAGGAGATGGCAGAGAGACCGTTCAAGTGTTTCTTGTCGCTTGCGATGACTGTGTCGTACGTTCTAACTAAGGGCATCGCTGTCAAGATGAGAAGTGACGGTACTACGGCCAAGAGAAGAATATAACTCGTTGGGTCGCCTTCACAGCAAATGTGGTACATTTGAACAAGAATTGCTCCACTTAGCCCAACATAACCCTACATTATAAATTTAAAAACATACCATAATCATTTGATTGAAGTTTTGTTCTTTTTTTTGCTAAACTATTTGATTGAATTTGCTTGAGGTTGAGGGCAACACAACTTTTCAAGATACATAGTAATTTCTCTTTTCTTTACATAACATATTTTGATAGGCTCTAAACATATCATTTTAATATATCTACTAGCTAGTAATGTTCATTAGGTATTTTATTAGGCAAAGCATTTCGTTAATTATAAATCCATTAATTATAAATCTACTAGCAGCTAGTTTCTTTCTCCAGCTAGTAATCTCAATACTAAATAAGAAAAGCTCTGGCGTAACCGGTTAACATTATGAATTTAATAATAAAACAATCGATACTATTATATTAAGACCATATTAAGTCTAACCTTCATAATGCCAACGGCGGTCCCACCATAGTCGGAGAAGTTCCGGACGGCGGTGACAACAATCGCCGTATTAAAGAAAGGTTGACAATGACCGGCGAAGAACATGAACAAACACATGACAGCCACCGGAGGCCGGTCGATCACTCCGGACGCAGCCATCCAAATGAAACCATACCCTAAGACCCACTGAAGCAACCCCACAAATATAACCACCCATGGCCCATTAAAGAAGCGACCGCTACCGCTTTTGCCGCTTGCAACCGCGGTATAGAAGAGGCCGGAGAGGATGCCAACGTTGGCTCCGATGTCTTTGTAGACAGAGACTGTGTCAAGGGTAGATTGGTCATAAGATTGAGATGATTTTAGAAGAGACGAATAGATTCCAAAGGTGTAGCTTGCTCCACTAAAGCTTTGTATCCATATACTCGCCGCGGCCGCCACCCATTTCGTGTTTGCGA